GGGTGGGACCTCCCACTGCTCCCCTCAATAGACTCCGTGGGTTAGTATAGACCAGAGAGTTACCTATTGACCTTTCCCGTATCTTCCTATACGAGAATCTAAGCCTTATAAGCCTCAAAGTACATTGATCACCTATTAAATGAAGCCGAATTAGAACATATCTCATAAGATATATTATATGCACACAGGATGGGGCTGTACCCAGTCGTAGAGGAAGTAGCGAGGACACTGGAAACCGTAGACGGGTTCCGCTTTGAGACAGTTATGTGACATAAAACGCCAATTAGAACAAGACCGTGACAGACGGGCAACATTATGTAAGAGTGAGTGAGTGAGTATGGTTTTACGCGGCTTTTAGCAATATTCCAGCAATATCACGGCGGGGACACCAGAAATGGGCTTCACACATTGTACCCATGTGGGGAATCGAACCCGGTCTTCGGCGTGAGGAGCGAACGCTTTAACCACTAGGGCTACCCCACCGCCCCCATTATGTAAGAAGTACCGTGGGGCTTTCAATGTCGTGGATGGGGTTGATACATCCCTTATGACAACCATCGTAGCCGCACCCATAGTGCTAGGCATCGAAATAACAGCTGGGGTGGTAGGGGTGGCGGGGTTGGTGTTTAAGTTTGCATCCCACAGACTGCATGTGTAAAGCGTTGAAGCACGACAAGAACAGGGTTCTGGCCGAAGCAAAGCTGAACACGGTAAGTGAGCACATCTCCACCGCACTCACTGACAGCAAAGTCTCCGAGGAGGAGTTTCGTTTGAGTCCTCTCTGAACTCGACAAGTACCATAGGATGAAACAAGAAATCCGGTCCAAGTCTCGTAAGTCTGCTATCAGCGAAGACGAGAAAAAGTACATAGAACAAGGGGTACAAAAAAAGTCCGGCAAGCCTTCATTATGAACACCAAAGAGATCATAGGCGATTCACATTAAACTGTTTCCTCGAGGTCAACACGACATAGAGCTTATCATAGTGTCACGTGATCAGGAAAGTTTTGGTTCGCGGTCATAGTGACCAGGAAGTTAACTGGGGGTTTGAACCTGGTATATACAAAAGCGGAGAGAGATAAGGGCCTGACAAAAGCTTTATTTCATAAATGAAACTTTACAGAGTCTTTTGTTGGACTTGATCTCGTACCGCTACTGTATATATTACTCGATATATGTTTTTCATGATTTTTTAAACAATGACATAATGCCATAAACGATTTAAGTACTCAGGACTATTTTTATCTAAGCACCGCGCTCATTTACGCGCGTTCTGGTTGGTTTGTCGTATTTTCGCACATAACAAGTATCGCGTGGGGGACGAGTCTTCTTGGAGGTTACGGATAGGGGCGAGTGGTGACGAATGGGGTCCAACTGAGTGTATTTCTGACTATCTTGCGGGCTTGTTATGGAGATTGTACGTGCGCTTCGACCAATTTTAGGAAATGTAATTATAAATACTTCTCTACACCTTTCACTATGTTTCACGATCATATGTTGTGCGAAGTCAACGCGGCTGCATAATCTGAAGCCTGGGGTCAGCCATAAGGTACGTACATCTTAGTGAATGGTGAGTGTTGAGATATTTATTACTGTAACACCTCCTCTGCAATGTAAATGATATGAAAGTTGTGTTCATGAAATGTAATAATGCATGAGACATTTATAAACATGATGATTTCACTGCCACCTATAGTAGTAATACCTGCTATATTAGATAACGCTACATGTTGTACGAAGATATTTCAACAGCTGACTTGTATGATGTATGTACACATTGTTGATAATATTCTATATACATATATATATATATCAATATATGTGGTTATTCATAGTACTTATTTCGGGTTCAGTCAGTATTAAAGTAAGCTTTCGTAATATGATTTCTATAACACACTCAAAGGCTAAAAACATGGTTGTGCTATTATCGCGAATGTTCTCATTTAAATAACAGTTTTTTACTATCGGAAAAATGCCAAATATGTTTATCATATATTTCGGCTTGATAGCTGATGCTAATTTGAGGTTAAGTTATTTTGTAATTTTGTCATTTTGAGAAAAACACTTATTTGACGAACTTAAAAACAATTTCGATTTATATATTATTCCGGATCATATAAACATGCACATTCAGACAGTCTGAAATAGAAATCATTTTGACGGGATAAATATTTAACTATTACGGTATGTGTGATTTGATATTGCGATACGTTCATACCACCATGCTAGCTGCTAGTTACCATATTCATATTTCAAACTGTCATAGTATTACATGATATATCCGTATGGACAAGGGGTGGTTAAAGCGATCGTTCTTTACGCTGAAGGTCGGGTTCGATTCCCTTAAGGATGCAATGTGTGAAGTCCATTGTCTGGTGATATTGCTGTAGTATTGCCAATACTGCTTAAATGCTTAAACCACTAGGCTATCCCACCGCCCCTAGTCCCATTTGATTAAGAATGTATATCAAATTACAGCCATTAACACACCTATTTGACTGTTGATTTAGGAAGAGATTTACATTCAACACTCATATCAATATACACTGCACTTTTCTTCATGAGGGACGTTATGGTAGCCTAGTGGTTAAACCGTTCGCTCGTCACGTCGAAAACCTGGGTTCGAAGCCCATTTCTACTGCCCCCCGCCGTGGTATTGCTGGAGTATTGCTAAAAGCAGCGTAAAACCAAACTCACTCACTCTATATATTTATGTAATATGTACATCATTCAACACATACACACACTACATACAGCGAAAAGAACGTTTCAATAATTGCAAGAAATCTTTTACCAAAGGTCGCAAAAATCGTTTAACTGATATGGTGCCGACAACCGGAAGTTCATAGTCTGAGCGAAACCCGACATTTGGCCTTGGTATATATCACAACTGACCAGCAAATTGGGACGCCTCAGAAAGTTGGCCCCATTCCAGTATAAAAAGTAGGGTTCAACTGAACACCTGCTCTGTTATAAATTATGTATTAATACAGGATATTTATATAGCGCACATATCCAAGCAACTAGTTACATCGCCCCTAGTCCTAATCACTGGATGTTTCACTAGATCAACGGATGTCCTTTTTAGCTGGTATTGTTTTAACCAACTCAAATTTTTCATCACAGGATCGATGCTCACTGGATTGTCTGGTCAAGACTCGATTATTTACAGACCGCCGCCATATAGCTGGAATATTGCTGAGTGCGGCGTAAAACTAAACTCACTCACTCACTCACTCTTCATCACAGCTATACAACAGCAGACCATACCACAAACCCAAGCATCACGTTCAGAGCACATCCAGAAGCATGATACAACATAACGTTTTGCAACAGCAGTTGTAAAATAACATTTGTCTTTAAGCTGAAAATCTAAATAGCTGTCTAAATGAAAGCATTGAACCCTTTTTATAACCACGTAAAAACGAGGAGGTACGGGGATCGTTTCAGTCCCTTGGGTGTCCCAGAAACCTATCTTTTGGGGATCGAATCCCAGTTAGCCCTGACTGCTTCTTGGTTTGTCAGCATTATACCCTTCCTTGTGCCTTTCGGGCGGTGGGGTAGCCTAGTGGTTAAAGCGTTGGCTCGTCACGCCGAAGACCCGGGTTCGAATCCCCACATGGGTACAATGTGTGAAGCCCATTTCTGGTGTTCCCCGCCGTGATGTTGCTGGAATATTGTTAAAAGCGGCGTAAAACCAAACTCAGTCAGTCAGTCAGTCCTTGTGCCCTTTCACCCTAGTGGTACACGTCTGAGACCTGCACCACTTTGGCCTTTACTCAAACACTGAGTAATAACGTGGAATAAAATAGAATACAGTTAAAATCGTGTTAACACACCCACCGGACAGTCACTCACACTGAGTGGCATGATCTGAACATGATCTCAAAGTCTCTCTCCCCTCGATTACGATGGGGGCGGTGGGAATAGCCTAATGGTTAAAGCGTTGGCTCGTCACGCCGAAGGCCGGGTTCGAATCCCCACATGGGTACAATGTGTGAAGCCCATTTCTGGTGTCCCCCGCCGTGATGTTGCTGGAATATTGCTAAAAGCGGCGTAAAACCATACTCAGTCAGTCAGTCAGTCAGTCGATTACGATGGAAGACAGAGTACAGGATGAAACGTTTATTCAAGCAGCCAAGATTACACATTTAAGCATGACCGTGTGTTAATGTAAAAATAATAATAATAATAATATATCAATATGAAGCAAATTCATGTTACATTTATACCACACAATTTATATAAAACGACAGAACATTATGAACAGGAATATAACAGTAAACGTTAGACTGTTACGGGATAGGAAAGATGCCATATTTACAATTCACAAACATATCCTTTAAATAGACGTTATACACAACAGAACATAATGAACAGGCAAGTTACATCATGGCTATAACAAAGGTTGAAATGTTACCCAATAGGAACAATGTCAAATTTCCCCTTCACGTACAATTGGCTTCTTCCAGTTGTAACTGTATTAATCACAAATATCCATGGTTGTTGTTAAACAGTCTCATGCATACCCTTATGTTATTTTTGCTACTCTCAATTAAATGTATATAATATTATAGCTGTTGTGTGCTAGATTTAGACAGAAAGTTCTGGAAGCTGCTATAGGGTACTACAACCTTATGTGTCGTAGTAGCAATTTCTAGAATCTTATTTGTGTGTACATAAGAGGATATCCATTCATAAGAAGGCCAGCATTTTGTGTGATCACTCTCTACCCTACGATATTCTGCCTAGACCTAACTTCTTAACAGTTGAATTACTGTTACGGAGAGGTGAATATTACCACCATTGTCTTTGTAACTATACTCAGTGTGCTTGGATTATATTACCTTTGAATTTGTATGGCTACGCTATTTTGTACTGTCATTGTGATGCCTTCATGCTAATTTGTGAACTTTAAGAATAAATTGTTAATTACATCCCATTGGTTCGTTGATTGTTGGTTTCACAGCTAGCTGCTGTAAGGACCGATTCAGGATAATGTTTTATTTTCAACTTGTTAATCGATACGTTGCAATAAGCTTGGTCGGTGCTCTGATTTTCCGTGTGTGAAATACGCATTATGGCGGAAAGCGCACATAAAATCAGTGTAATGGAATAATGGAATAGTCACGTTAGGACTATGAATTGCACTATGAATTCAACATCAATCACGTTATACGTTCTGATTCATAATCATAATCACCTTATCACATGGTATTTAACACGTACGAACATATTCATTATAACACATACACGCACAAATATAACTGACAGTTATGCCTTCATGGCTGTTTAATGCAATTTTTATCATTACCTCCATCAAAATATATCAATAAGTATCTATGGTTCAGGAATACCGTCAAAACGATGCAATGTCAGGTTACGCACGCCCGCGCACGCCGCGCACACGCACGCACACGCACGCACGCCCTTGGTATGTCATCATTCAGTGAACTATTACACTGTTTAGGTAAGTTCAGGTCTAATTATTTAAACATGTCCATGACGTTATCCTTGAGCGAAGGTATTTCTGTGCGCTGATTCATCGTGTATGTGGCATTTGCTGGACCCCAGTCCTTAGCAGGCCTCAAGGCCAGCTTTATACTCTGCAAGGTGAACAAATGTGCATTAATTAGAGGCTGAGGTTGAGGTCAATGGATGCAGCAGTTGCTCGTCCCGTACATAACTTTATTTTATTTCCCAAATGCAAGTAATTTTTCATCCACTAATTCGAAACATATGATCATAAAACTATATTTACATATGTTCATCTCTGTGGACACCAAGAGATGGACTTAAAGGTGGACTAAAATGACTTTTGGGCAATATCGAAACTGTAAGGAGTGATACGCTGCTTTCAGCAAATCCCTATTTTTGGTGTGCCGAGCAAAGACTGTAAGCATTCTGCTACCCATAGGCATCCATATTTCAACTTTGCCTGTAGTTTGGCAGTCATCAGTTTTCGATTCCCTCGCTACTTCTAAAATAAGTTTTAAAAGATTGAGATTTAAAGTTACCAAATTTCTTTTGAAGTTTCACCGCATTTGTACATGTGTCCTTGCCCAACGGGACATTCCATTCCACTGACGCCTCAAACAATACCTCGTGAACAGAGATGTCAAAGCTCCAGATCTCATATACTTCCGATCTTTTAGATTTGAAAATATTTGTAACCAGCTGGAAGATTGATATATCCAAAATATTTATTATCATCTATCTATGATATATACCATTTATGACATGATATATACCATTTAAGATTTCTATTGGTGGCCGTAATCACACACGCAAAGTAACTCCAACATAGAATATCTCACATAGAATGTCGTTCCACAGATTATATGTTCGTCATGGTCTCGTATAACATATGGGGCAGTGATGTAGCCTAGGGCTTACAGCGTTGGTTCGACTCGCCAAAGAACCGGGTTCGATCCCCACATGGTTACAACGTGAGGAACTATCCATGGTATCGGACTCGCGTGTGACCGACCACTTGCCCGATTAGATGCCTTTTCTTACGACAATCATAACTTTCTTCACACTTCACTTTGGGGGCGTTAGTGTAGCCTAGTGGTTAAAGCGTTCGCTCGTCACGAACCGGGTTCGATTCCGACATGGTTACAGCGTGATATTGCTGGAATATTGCTAAAAGCACCGTAATACCATACTCACTCATTCGTATAACATGTAATAATAAATGAAAATACTACTGGCTATCTCTTAGGAGAATAGCCCGATAATGTATATCATCCTTCGGTCCGCAAACATGAAATCATATATTACCTTCTTTAGAGAATGGATTGCCATGTGTTTCTTGACACCCAGTACCATGTAGACCGGGAGAGGGAGGGTGGAGATGACGGCCACACACCAGCCTATTGTACTGGCGTAGCTGGGAAACTCGTAGTTGCCGTAGGTCGGTGGCTGGTAGTTGTTTAGTGTCAGGATGAAAACTGTCTGAAACAAAGATACAAACACTACATTCAGTGTGGTTATAGTTGTCTTGTGGTGCATTGTTTAGAATATTTTGAACAGTTGTACTCTTTCTCGCAACACCCGGTGTCTTGATTCTGAGTGATCCATTCATACGCTTTTCTCAGCTATTTTGTCTTTAACGCCCAGCGGCGACAGTTTCGGCAGATTTTCTTCTCCTTGGTAAATTCATAATTACACCTTTCTTGGATTAATACAAAGAGAAAAAATGTCATACACAGTGTTGAAGGCACTACCGAGATGCCGGAACTGTTATCATGACTCCTCTAAACTGTATTACCTACCATCAAGATTGCCGGTGTCACAAAGGCCAAGAGGATCTTTACTGGTGACGATAGTGCTTTGCCAGTCATCATCTCATCGTCCCTGCTCATTTGTTTTGCCCCTGAATGAAGCATGCATTCACCTCGTTATGTTATGACCATATACATATTAAGTCCATATGGTTCCAGCCTTTATATTTATACTACTGACTGACTGGCTGAGTTTGGTTTTACGCCGCTTTTAGCAATATTCCAGCAACATCACGACGGGGTACACCAGAAATGGGCTTCACACATTGTGCCCATGTGGGGATTCGAACCCGGGTCTTCGGCGTGACGAGCCAACGCTTTAACCACTAGGCTACCCCAACGCCCCTATATTTATACTAGTCTTTTTAAAGTAAAGGTTGTTACGGTTAACAATTTGCCGTGACAAAAAGGTTTAAGAGTCCTCTTTGAACCAGCAAAGTATAACACAGACAAGTCTAAAATATTCAATAATATACTGAACAACCAATGAGCAAGCTACAATGAATCACAATAGTCAATACAGATTTCTAGTACAATGCAATTGAGTCACAAATCTAAAGTAATGGGTCTCAAATATGAAATATTAACTCACCAGAGTCTTGGCATTTACAACGAGAGCGGATATTCTAACTGAAGGTAGTTTACAATGTCAGTAGACAATCTGTCTTGACGATGTTGACAGACAGACAACCACGGTAGGCAGAAGACGGCAGAAAGATGTACACAACTCCAGTGATATAAAAAGTCCATGTGTAATTTCGTGTGTTAGTCCTGTCTCAAATCAACAGCCAGCCTTTATATAGATTGAAAGAGAGTCTAGAACATTCTTTATCCACTGGAGAACATTCACGAATCACGTTGAACATACGACCGGGACACAGGCCCCCACTGCGGGTCAGAAAATCGATAAACTAGGCCCCGGTTTAGTATCAACACCCCCTACTCTATAATACATAAAGGTTCATCATAGAAATATGGTGACATGATCGAAAACCGGACAATTACGCAAACGTCAATGAATATATCGTATTTTAAAGGTCTCACAAGTATCAAAAGCTTTTGTCCATATCTTCGATGTATGTAGGAGGCATATACATGGGCTTTCCGTGGGGATGCATTTGATGGTTTTTATTAAATCGCCAAAGATTCGTGTATGTAATATGTTTTGCCTCAGCTTTTACGACAGGTGTTTTACCATTAGAGATTCTACATTATACATCAGGGTTTTCAGGATTCCACTTGAAAACAGTCTAGGATATATGTAGTTCAAAATGTTACTATGCTATAGATATATGTGCTTTCTCTCTGAAGACTAATTTTCAATAATGTGTGAATATAACTCATTCTGTTACAACATGAGTCTGAGACCTCATCTGTAAGGTCCAAAGCGACTGGTTTTGTTGTCTCATATTTTTTCATTTGTTTTGTTTTGACATTGTGAAATGCAAACCTTCAACAAATCAGATGGTTGCGAAACGGGTGAACTTGTCTTTATGCGGTAGACGTCAGTGAAGGTCAAGTTCACTGAGAGGTGCTCAGTTGAGCACTTAGATTAGTACCTGCGAATCCAAACCAACCATTAGCAGCATCAGGAAGAACAGGAATGACCACAGCTGAGGAAGCGGAAGTTTTGCCAGAGATTCTGGATAGGTTACAAATCCTAAACCTGGACCTTCAACAGAAACATCAAATGTATTAAAATATTGATACAAATAAAAAGCGGTAAAACCCATTCCATACCCATACCAATGCTCGATTGACCGATTTTGCCTACATCATGAGCATGTGTCTATGAAGAATTATCAAATAGTGATGGTGACATCTGTCAACAAACTCGACCTGAAATTCGCCATTTCTGCACACATCAACTAGAGCCGTGTGTGTGTGTGTTGTGTTGTGTTGTGTTGTGTTGGGGGAGGGTGTTGGTTGGTTGGTTGGTTGGTTGGTTGGTTTGTTGGGTCTTGCCCGCTTGTAAATCGTAGCTAATTACCTCAAAGGACAACAACCTACTATCCTCTGAAAAACCCTTTTCTTGATTGTTCTTCAAGATTTTCTGCTATCTTATACTGCGATTGTACAAATATAATAATGTGATTGCCTTTAAAAACAATGAAAAATTCCCCTACCTGATGAAACTACCTTTGCAATGGGAACACCCATTTTCTGTGCCATCACCCCGAGAACAGCAAATGTGACCAGGCCAGAAAAGATGCTGGTTCCCTCTGATACTGAGGCCAGTATGAGGCAGTCTCTGTCAATATACATGTATATTAATTACTAGTAGTTCACCCATCTCTTTCTCATCAAGACACCAACAAAACCCTTGCCATAACTATAATATACAAAAGGTCAACGCCATTAAACAACCAGTCTCGATCCTCCTCCAACACTGATTCCACTTTGAGCAATAGGAAAAGCGAAATGTCTGTCATACAGGCTCCCTGTACGATTCGTACTGTACTATACTCGTGTGTTTATGAATCGTTAGGGGTGGTGGGGTAGCTTAGTGGTTAAAGCGTCGGCTCGTCACGCCGAAGACCTGGGATCGATTCCCAACATAGGTACAATGTGTGAAGCCCATTTTGGGGACTTATGAAGGAACGTGTCAATAAGAAAAATATGACAAATATTGCTGAAATGAAAGAAGAGGTGGTCCGATATTGGGACAGCATGGATCACGACTTTCTAACTTCTTTGATCAGTAGTATGCCCCTTCGCCTTGAAGCCTGCATTGCTGCCCATGGTGACTTGACAAAATACTAACTGTTCCCCTGTCTTTGAATCTGGAGTTATGTTCTGCTAATATTCACATTTAATACGTGAGTAATGAGGGAAAAGATATAAAAATTACAATCTTAAATTCTCAATAATTTCTGGTTGTACTGTATATGTTTTACATATATTGCGAACTAAAGCAACCTTTATACATATCTCTTGCATTCTCGTTGTTGTACTTGAGTCTGTGGCCTTTATACTGAATAAATTCCTCCTCCATTCTTCTTCTCACAACAGATCTGCCTAGCTTGATAACGTTTGTAATATTTTAGGGTGTATATTTTTTGTACTCGTCAGTGTATGTCAATCATCACAATTTTGCAAAGTATGAATGTTACGACACTGATAACACTACTGTACCGATCGTGGGCACAATAATCAGACAACATTGCTACATTGCATCTACAGTAAAAACCAAATTGAAACATTTTGTATTTTATAATCTATCTTTACATTTGGTTAATCTTTCATGCATATTATACGAATGGTTACATGAATATTTTCACTTGAATATTTGCAAGGTTATATATTTCAGGGACCCACGCGTCGTACATCCGTATAGACTCCAGTACTGGTGGGCTGACAGTTTCCCAGAACGTTGATCTGGAGACTGGACTGACTCAGCTTGACCTGTCTGTGACAGTCACTGACTCGTCAGGACTCACGGCAACACAAGCCTTCTCCATCACAGTGGAGGACATCAACGACCTTCCTCCGGTCTTCAGCCCTTCCGTGTATACAGTGGAAATCACAGAAAACACTGCAGGAGGTATACGTAGCCTTTTCAGTCAGTATGTGAATTTTATAACCAGCTGCTTCGATGTCTTGACTGAAAATGTAATACATGTGCATAACGTCAGTGCAAAGAATACCCAGTATTGACATCCTCTGAAATACAAGCCTTGGGAATACGGGCATGTCATTCCTTTCTGACAGCGGAGGAGGTTATTTTCAACTTATTAAAGAATAGAAACATTTGAAACATGGATTACAGGTGTTTCCAAAGCATTTCAAACCTTTGCTCTTGCGGGCGTACATTGCATTGTGGGTTTTCAGTGCCCTACTGTTAATACACAGATGAAATGAAAATGAAAACACATGATGATGTTGTTTATGACTTTTTGCTCCTAGATTTTTGAAAAACAGTGAATAAACTACGACATTGTGTTTGTCATGCTCAAACGCAGAGCACAACCTTAATCCGTTTGAGGTCATTTTGCAAAAGTATGCAATTTAAAGTGTTTTAGCATAGTTCCGTCATCAGGCTACAAATACAAAGGCTGTAGGTTAGAATCACTGAAATATAAGTACTAGTTTCGTATTAATTTACACAATTCTGCATATTTCCCTAAATTAGTATTTTGCATCTTGTATGAAATGTGTACAATCACAAATTAAAAGTGCAGGCATTTGTGAAGAATATACCTTCGACATGGGATATTCCTTACGAACAGGATACACCTGACAAGAATAAGATGACGCCACTAGGGGTTATAAGTTATGTCATTGCTAAATATAATTAATGGGTACGTCTGGTTTTACTGTCAAGTACACATACATACATACATACAAATATTTGTAAAGCGCTTTTTATCAATCTAATTGCTCAAAAACGCTATCTGAGTCCACTTTATCCATGTGCAGAGGTGAATAGGTGCGTCTTGAGTCCACTTTTAAAATTGGACAGTTCTGTTTCGGAACGAAGGATGGATGGTAAATGGTTCCAGAGGAAGGGTCCTGCTCTAGAGAAAGACCTGTCCCCATATGACTTAGTTCTAGTTTGTGGTATTTCAAGGAGAGACTGGTCCCTTGAGCGGAGTGATCTAGTTGGGTGATATGGTGTAAGGAGATCCGAGAGGTATTTTGGAGCTAGACCGTTTAGACACTGGAAAACAAGGAGCAGACCTGTCCCCATATGACTTAGTTCTAGTTTGTGGTATTTCAAGGAGAGACTGGTCCCTTGAGCGGAGTGATCTAGTTGGGTGATATGGTGTAAGGAGATCCGAGAGGTATTTTGGAGCTAGACCGTTTAGACACTTGAAAACAAGGAGCAGGATTTTGTAGTCGATTCTGAAGCGAGTTGGAAGCCAATGTAGGGTTTTGAGGGCAGGAGAGATATACCACGGACTCTACCCCTGCCGACTATGAAGCTGTCGAATCATCAGGCTGTTGGATCATCTATGTATGTGCGAGTGCTGGTATGGTTTTACGCCGTTTTTAGCTATATTCCAGCAATATCCCGGAGGGGAACACGAGAAATGGGCTTCACTAATTGTACCCATGTGGGGAATCGAAGCCGGGTCTTCTGCATGACGAGCGAATGCTTTAACCACTAGGTTACCCCACCGCCTCTCTATGTATGTAGAAATGTATTTTTGTGATACTTACAGTATGGCAGATACACAACAAACTGTTATCATCGGTTTACGGTTTTAAGATTTATTCAATATTGCCCCATAGTGGAATGATAGCTCTGTAGTATCCTACCATGCATATCGAAGGAGATGCGGGAAGATGTTTTTAATATTATTATATGTCTTGATCATCTAGGTATCACAGGTCGTTCAAATGTAGCTGAAATACCACAATCTGCAGTGTAAAAGAAAACTGACTTAATCAAACCCTATTGCTTTATTTCCACCTTGGTGAATTTTGGTGAATATATTTTTATGTCAGATACATCGCTGGCTGATCTGACGTGCTCTGACGGAGATACAGGAAACAACGCTCTATATGACGTCACGGTTGCCAGTGGAGATGGTGGAGCAGGTATCTTCAAGATGTCCGGACTTCAGCTTCTCACGGACTATGAAGCTGTCGGATCATCAGGCTACATGTACACCCTGGTCATCACAGCAGTTGACACACCAGACCAGGGGGAGGCCAACACGGGGACAGCGATAGTGAAGGTGACGGTAAAACCAGAGAACGAGTTCGACCCTGTGTGGAGTAATCCAGTTCCCGATGGCAGCGGATACTTTGCAGGGACTACAGTCAGTGAGGGTGCTGCACCAGGGACTGCCGTTACATCCTTCAATAGGAAATTACGTCACTGCCACACTAACGAAATCGTTATCACTGAAGGTTAATGCAACCCTCTGAACGTTTTACATTTTTCAGAACATAAGGCAAACACGTAACGTGTAAATAAAAATAGCACTTCTGCAATTGACAAACGTCACTCGTCCACATTTATCTACCATCTACGACAAATCATTTCTCCTGAACTTGGAGTCTGTGAACCGAATATTCATTCTTTCATTCTGTTGCAAACTTTGATCAAGTATGCCAGTTTATCCTAGTTGAGTGATTGATAATTTATCAATCAATCATGGGTAAACTCTTGACATAATCAAGATTTTCAGCTGGAATATTGCTAAAAGCGGCGTAAAACTAAATTACTCAATCACAAATTAAGTAGAATCATGCTTGGCATGTCAGCTGTCTGTCTGCTGTCTGTGTCACCACATCTATTTATTTGTAATGAACCTATTACATTATTCTCCAACAGCATCAGGAACTTCAGCGCCAGACAAGTTCTCCATAGCCTCCCTCTACAGGAGAACTGATGGTGGCAGGAGAGCTGGATGTGGACACAGGGACTAACGGAGAAAGTAGCTACACTGTAGTGGTCAGGGCGTCAGACAAAGGAGCAACAGCCCGGACTGTGGATGGCAGCATCGTTGTTACATTAACAAACGTGAACGACAACGCCCCGACCTTTGACCAAACCGACTACACAGCTAGTGTGAGTGAAGCTAGTGCAGTTGGTACAGCAGTGATCGCCCTCAACACTGAAGACTTTGATGGTGATGCAGTGACTCTGTCTGTGGCCAGCGGACGGGATGACCTGTTTGAGTGTGTTGGAAATGAGGTCAAGGTCAAGGCCCCTTTAGACTATGAAACGGATACTTACCATACTATTATCATAAGGTACGCCATTCCTACATATTCAGGGTTCACCTGTTCTTTAGGAAGATGACATCAGGGAATAATTGACGTAAATCTAAGACGGTTTCATAAAGACATTTCTCGACATTGTGTTTTCTTTAACCTGAAGCATGACATCCACTTCCAGAGCCAGTGATGGTGTCTTCGAGGCAGATGTTCCCGTCCAAGTCAACGTCCAGGATGTCAGTGATGAAGATCCGGTCATCACCATGGTAGCAACAGCCACCATGGCAGAAGAACAGGCTCTTGGAACTGGAGTGTATGGGGGTACCTGGTCACTGATCCGGATGCTGGTGATACTCAGACATATGCCCTCTCTGGTATGAAGAAATATGATTTCTGCTTTTGAAATAGCCTGTATGGTGGAAAAGACAATGCTTTAAGTACATATTTCTTAAGATTGAGGAAATAGTTTTGTGACTTATTTATTGTAATACAATACATACCTGTTGGTGCGGTAATTGTGTGCTGCATTAGGGAGACCGGGGTCAATTGTAACACTCTTTACTTAACTTCTTGTAATTCGATACTAGTCGACCGCTCACAAAGTTAATCGGTACTAACTAGTACATTGGGTTCTTGGCTTTAAACCTCAGTGTCATTTAATCACACGAAGATATGGGTCTATCGTTTCTATCCCAACCAACAAAGTGAATGTATATAATATAAGACGTTACTTCCTTATAAATAGGTTTTAGTATCAGCATCACGACTTGCATGAAATCGATAACTGAAACTTCGATGTGAACAGTTTTCAAACAGGGAACACTTGCCATATATGGAATGTAAACAATTGCTCCGTACATCGAAAACTGTCGCACGCGGAGGTGTCGGTGTTTGCCGAACTGGTTTCAATCACAAGTTCATTCATAACTACTCGTCCCTTTCCGTAACCTGAAGGTAGACTCTTACTCCACTCGTAGCCATGTCCGGGAGAAATATTCCCCCAACCAATCACGATGCGCGTATGTAGAGAAGAAATTGGGTTAAAATAGGTCTTTGAAATATTTTTCATTTGGGCTTTTCCCAGACACTTCAAGTATATTCTAATTATTGCATAGTCCTCCTGGGTTTCCTGAATTTTTATAACCAGGATATATTAACATTATGGCGTAGGAAAGTAGTTAAACACGTTAAACATACCCATTGAGCTAATTTCCTTGGCGTGATGCCGTGTGTGCTTTCCAAGTAAACTAGAGTTACATGCCCTTGAAAATAGTTCGGCGACTAGACTATTTCTTTCTCTCTGCGCTTTTGCGCTCAGACAGAGCCACGTTCAATAAAATGGCTTCAAGAGGGGTACGAGTCTACTTTCAGGTTACGGAAAGGGACGAGTAGTTACGAATGTCACAAGTTGTGCCCATTCGTGACCAACTCGTGTTATTCAGGACAAGCCGAATAGCGACTCGTGCCCCTCTGGAAGGCATTCATATTGGCGCATGAACATCAGACTACCTTAAACAAGAACGATAACTCTATCCCTTATTGCCTTATTGAATATACAAATAAAATAATATTTTTTCAGCTACATTATGGATAGTTACATACATATACGATATTGTTGTTTTGAAACTCGTAGCGATTATAATTACATTTCCCAAAATTGGTCGAAGCGCACGTACAATCTCCATAACAAGCCCGCAAGATCGTCAGAAATACACTCAGTTGGACCCATGAGAGCAGT